CATCCTCGTATCAAGGAGTGCCGCGAGCATATCAAACTTTTGGAGGAGGAGGGAGCGGTGCTCGTTGATACTATGAACGTGTTGCTTAACGAGTCTTTGGTGGATGGACTTCTTTAGTTTTGGTGGATGACCTTCTTTTAAAAGCTTGTATTTTCAGAAATGAGCTACAGTTAACGAGTCATTGGTGGATGGACTTCTTTAGTTTTGGTGGATGGACTTCTTTTAAAGGCTTGTATTTTCAGAAATGAGCCACAGTTGTAGTAATAACCACACGTTAAGGGTAGCCCACTTGAAAGTATGAAGTGAAGTGAGACTGTATCAAACAAGAACCACATTTCACTTAGAAAAACACAAGACAATCATTATTGTATCAAATAAATGCAAGGGAAAATGAATTGATTTATGGTATCTGTATTCGAATTACAAGAAATTCACAATAAGAACGAAACTAAATTAAAAAAAAAAAAAAAGAACGAAATTAAATTAAAATAAAAAAATTAGAAGCTCTGACATATTTTACAATTAAAATAAATCAAATGCTACACCGGCATGACCACCACCGGCGGCAAGCCCAAATGCCCTTTAATTTTTTTCTGTCAATTAATTCATTTTCTCATAAATCAATTGTTTTTTTTCTTAATGTACTAGTGGAAATAAAAGACAACTAATAAGATCATTAATTATGAGTAGAAATTCCTAGATTGTGTTCATCTTATTTATATTCTTCATAGTTTTATCTTCTTTGTGAATTGTGATCACCTGAATTTCGTTATCTAATGCGCAATAACTAATCGAAATATCCAAAGAAACGATCATCGAAATAATGCATAGCACATTTTGACATAACCAAAAGAGATTTGAAGGGAGATATATACGTACATTGCACATTGCAATTTGTGTTGCATCGGCAGCTGGGGCCGATGTGTGGGCCCCGTCACCGAACCAGCTTCCGGGGCGATAAAGATGGTGCAATCGCTATTGTAAAACGCTTAAGAGACATTTTGTCAAACAGTTGATCTGCATAGAGTTAAACAGAGAGAGAAGTCGTTCATGATGAACAAATCCATCAATTCAGTTCTCATCACGAACTGGACTCAGTTCTCCCACCAGATCAACTCAGTGGCAGACCGAGTTCACCATCCGAGCTAAGCAACTCCTCCCAGTCAACTTCCTCGTTCACCTCATCTTTATCACTCAGCACCCCGATACATATATATAAATAATAAATTAATTAAAAACTCGATAAATAAATAATTCCACTTTAGAAATTTCAAAATCCACACCACAAAAGTCCTTCTAATTAATTAATAAACAAGTTCGATGGATTTTGATGAACTTGTAATAGTATTTTATTGTCTTATTTTGATCTGATTTGTTTGTGTGTTGTTGTAATACCTAATGATTGGGTCACTAATAAGTTCATTATTGAATAATAATCAGTGTTTTAACTTCAGTTTACTCATTGAAGAGCAGTATGAATAGTACTTTCAGGTTTTTTTGGCAAGAGATTTAAAAGGGAATATTACGGTCTTCATCCTTCAAGTTTTTGCCAATTTCATATTTGGTCCCCACATTTATAAAATACGTATTTGGTCCCTTCAACATTTTTGGTCATTTCCCCGACAAATTACTGTTAGTCCTTCAGTTAAGACGGTGACATGAACATGCTTGATTCCGGTAGTACTAACGGTAAATTGACGAAAATGACTAAAAATTATTAAATTCTTGAAAGATGAGGGAACAAATGTATTTTTTTAAACACGGAGAACCAAATGTAGAATTAGTATAAATGTGGATTTTTACTGATAATGCAAATGTGGATTTTTCCTAAAATCCACTTAGTGGGCGAAGGAAAATGCAACTATGAAGTGGGGTTAGCTCCTAGCATCAGACTTGAGCATGAACACTTTCCCTTTGGCAGAGATTCTTGTCATACTGAAAATGCTAATTACCACAAAGAGTTGGATGGAGCACTTCAAGGCATTACAAGAGGAGCATATTGTACGATTATTTTGCCTTTGTATTGTTCTATTTTAACAGAAAATAACATTTGTTGATATATTTTTTTTTTTTTTGCAATGCAGGAGAAACATGAGACTGATGAAGATACAAATGATAGTGAGAAAACTTCTTTCTCATGGAGATATAAATGATAGGGATGATGGAGATACAAGTGAAAGTGAACGGGATTGGGATGCAATAAAAGCAGAGGTGACTCCCTCGTGTAAAGGAGTGCTGGGAGTGTATCAAGGATTTGGAGGAGAAGGGAGCGTTTCTCGTTGAAACTATGAAGCTGTTGCTTTATCAGTCAGTATATAGTTGATGGACTTCTTTAGCTTGGATTGCCCTTAATGTTATTTTTTAAGATTCGGTTTTTCTATAGTGACTTTGCACTTATTGCTAGTTTATGTGAGATGTTTACTTTTGGTATATAGAATTGTACAATCTCCCTACAACAACGCCACAACAGAGCCGTGTTGGATTCATAATGAGAGTCATCGACCGTGTTTAATGTCGCATTTCGCTTCTCATAACAAGTGACTAAATCATAATGCTTATTTTCATAAATGAGCTACTGTCATAACCATATAATAAATAAAACCAAGTGGATCAAAATAACCATATAATAATAAAATCAACGTGACAACATCAGTGGATCAAAATAACCATATAATAAATAAAATCAACGTGACAACAAGAGATTCTAGACATCTTGGAATAAATAAATATTTTGAAACTTTATAAAAGTATGCACAGAAATAAGTAAATATATAAATGTGAAAAAACATCAGTGGATCAACTAGAGATTCTAGACATCTTGGAATAATTAAATAAATAAATAAATATTTTGAAACTTTATAAAAGTATGCACAGAAATAAATAAATAAATAAATAAATATATATATATATATATATATATATATATATATATATATATATATATATATATATATATATATATATATATATATATATATATATATATATATATATATATATATATATATATATATATATATATATATATATATATATATATATATATATATATATATATATATATATATATATATATATATATATATATATATATATATATATATATATACACATAGACATATATAAAAATATATTTATACATATATATATGTCCACCACATATATATATATATATATATATATATATATATATATATATATATAT